CTTATTTCAAACTTCAAGACAGGGCAGGAATGGAGCTTGCAAATGAACCACATGACCCATAAAACACAGGAACAGCAAAACAATAAATACAAAGGCAAAAAACATTTCCCTGCTACTGTAGGTCAAACTAGACATCCTGCAGGAGATCCATCATCAGGATCTCTCTCAGTTTTTGTTTTGTTTACCTCACAGCAGCCATGTGGGGTTTCTAATTGGATCTAGAAAGAGCGCTGGAACAAAGACCTTTTTAACCCTTTCCTCTCATGCTCAATTTAAATTGTCCTCCTGCCCCCCCTTGCCCCCCGCAGAGCTAATGTCATTCTCAAAAGAGCATCATTTTAGATTAAGGAAAATGCACAGGAGGAAAGGATTAAGCACACCCCTCCAAACTCCAGGTCTGCTTGAGTTAGATGTGGTTGTGAAGGGGTTTTTTTTAGTAGTTTCTCAGTTTGTTTTAGGTCTAAATAATAAATATTTGGAGAGGAGAGCACAAACACTTTAACTACCTTGTATGTTTCTTTTTGAAAAAGATTACACATCCGAACATGTTGGGAAGAGCAGAACAATAAATGCAGCTAATTTATTTCTCTGCCAAACACCATTCAGCACCATCCCCCTGATGATGATGATGATTACTATATTAGAATTTATGTACTGCCCTATACCCAGGGGATCTCAGGGCAGTTCACAGAATAAAATCAAGATATAAAACCACAAAATACCTAATAAAAATAAAAAAACTACAACCCAATAGCCCCCCACCCAAAAAAACATATTTTAAAAGGGTATAGGATGTAGATTAGGTCAGGCAAAGGCCTTGTTAAAAAGGAACATTTTTGCCTGGCGCCTAAAGGTGTATAATGAAGGCGCCAGGCGAACTTCCCTGGGGAGAGCATTCCACAGATGGGGAGCCACCACAGAGAAGGCCCCTTTTGGTGTTGCCACCCTCTGGACCTCTCGAGGAGACGGCACACGAAGTAGGGCCTCAGAAGATGATCTCAGGGTTTGGGTAGGTTCAAATGGGAAGAGGCGGTCCTTGAGGCATTGCAGTCCTGAGTCATTTAAGGCTTTATAGATCAAAACCAGCACTTTGATTTGGACCCAGAAACGAATTGGTAGCCAGTGTAGTCGGACCAGGATCGGTGTAATATGCTCAAACAGTCTTGCTCTGGAAGCAACCTGGCCATTGAATTCTGCACTAGCTGAAGTTTCCGAACCATCTTCAGAGGCAGCCCTACGTATAACACATTGCAGTAATTAAATTAAATTAGCGGTTGCTTGAAAACAGGAGCGCCAGGTTCCAAAGTACATCACATTTAATTTGGTCCTCAAGAGGCACCATAGTGTCGTGGTAGGGACACCTCTGGGGCAGAATCTCCCTGATTCAACTCTCCCCCATGCTCTGAACTCATAGAGTAGCTGTGAACAAGCCACTGCCTCTAGAGCTAAGCCTCCATCTGTAACAATGAGACAATAAATTATGCCTGCATAATTTATTCCTATGTTCCTGCGGCACACATAGGAAGAGTATTACTCTATAAACACTGAAGTAGTATTCACTGTATGTGCTCATTCTTTCAACCCTTTATTGTGGGCAGTAAGATGCATTGGCTTCAATTAAGACAAGGCAAAAAAAAAATCTCAATTATTTGGAATCACTAAAGACCTCTCAGGGCCTTTCTTCCAACAACAAGTTTTTTATCTCAACCAGATGTTATATTTCTTCATTCTATGCAACTAATTCCCACTACAGTTTTGATGGATCCAGTGGCGTAGCGTGGGTTGTCAGAACCCGGGGCAAGCGCTGAGAGAGAGTGAGTGAGCCAGGTAGGGGCAGAGAGCTGCGAGTGCGAGCGCGAGCGCCCCAGATGTTGCGCCCGGTGCGCCCGGCCCCCCCTGCACCCCCCATGCTACGCCACTGGATGGATCACGATACTTTATTTCCCTCTGTGTTCTAAACTGTTGCTTTTAGCGTTGATTGGAATGGCTGAATCCTTTAGAGATTTCTCTGTTCCAATTATAAGCAACTCCCTCTTCGCTGTGTAGAGGCCAAAACAAGTTGTGAATTAAAAAAGAAAAGCAAACCAAAGCTATCTGTTCAGAATTCGACTGCTGATGATAATATACCATGACAACCATTTCATATTTTTGGTTTTAGCATACAAATACTGCATCCGCTAACGATTCCTCAGCAACCTAAGATTTTATTGCCTTCTATGTTGCTTGAGTTCATTAAGTGATTAATTGCGCTTGACTCCTAACAGTGTCATGGGACTCCCTAGAAGAAGCAAGGGAAATGGTTCAATTTCCCCGAGTATAAATTTTGAAAAAGCAAGAGCAAAAACAAAAAAACCCAAGCTGGCAGACTGGTTGTAGTTAATTTCCATCTGCCAGGGCTTGCCAGGCTACATTTGACCCAGAAGCTCTATCTCCTGCTGTGTGGGGAAGCAGTGATGATGGAAACAGTCTAAAACATGATCCAGATCCTTTTATATATATATATTGCTTTTCAAAAGCACATCAGAATGGCTCACAAAGTGTAAGAGTCCACTAGGAGTTTGGCCTTTCGGCCACTTGCTGACCAAGTGTTAGTGTTCCTATTTTCCAGGGACAGTCCCAGATTTACAGAAGCCACCCCAGTTTCTGATTCGAATGCCCTTTAGAAGACATCTGAAGGCAGCCCTGTATAGGGAAGATTTTTAATGCTTTACTGTGTTTTTATATATGTTGGAAACTGCCCAGAGTGGTTGGGGCAACCAAGTCAGAGGGGCAGGATATAAATTAATATATATATATTAATATTATGGAATGTTGTTGTTATTTAGTCGTGCCCGTCTCTTCGTGACCCCATGGACCAGAGCACGCCAGGCACTCCTGTCTTCCACTGCCTCCTGCAGTTTGGTCAAACTCATGCTGGTAGCTTTGAGAACACTGTCCAACCATCTCGTCCTCTGTCGTCCCCTTCTCCTTGTGCCCTCCATCTTTCCCAGCATCAGGGTCTTTCCCAGGGAGTCTTCTCTTCTCATGAGGTGGCCAAAGTATTGGAGTCTCAGCTTCAGGATCTGTCCTTCTAGTGAGCACTCAGGGCTGATTTCCTTAAGAATGGATAGGTTTGTTCTTCTTGCAGTCCATGGGACTCTCAAGAGTCTCCTCCAGCACCATAATTCAAAAGCATCAAATAGGACACCTCTATTTCCATCCGAGAAATGTCAGAGGGGATGCAGTGGAGCTTTTTCAGTACCTTGGAGAGGGCTGTTGTTCTGCATTTCCCATCTCACGAATTCTCTGCAGGAAAGCAGTGCCCAGCTCATGTTGGCCAAACAATATTTTCCTGCTTTTCAGCAGAAACTTTCGGAATTAATAGCATAAGCATATTAGCTTGTGTGTGTGTGTGTGAGAGAGAGAGAGAGAAAGAGGTCTCAGAGCTGCATTGCGATTGGCCTTTCTGTGCAAGTACCGCATGGAGGGTGATCATCTAAGTCCCTTTGGAGCCATTGTTAAAATCTGGACTTTTCTATTTCAAAGTTTTCATCAGGGATCAGGCCACATAGCCTTTTCATTTCCCCACAGAGCACATCTTTGCAACAGCCGAACGTAATGCTCCCTGGCATGTTGGAACGACACAGTCCATGGCTAATTAGCAATCTTGTTTACCTTCGTTTCGAATTTGTGAGGCTTTAAGTCTCCCTTCATCTTTCCAGCAGCTTGTATATAAACCAGAGGAGGCCGTGCTAGAACCTGCTGCTGTTTTTATCACAGCAACTCCCCGTCCTGTGGCAACGCAGCTGTGGCATTTACCCTGCCTACCCTTTTCAGTTTTGTGGCTCACAGCTATTGTTCTCAGCCTCAGACTTGCGACCGGCACTCATGCATATGTGTGAGTACGTGTGTGGGGAGGGGAGAGAGAAATAGATTTATGAGGGATGAAATCACCATTACAACCTCTCCACTTTGGGGAGGGGGACGGGGAGAAAGAGAGAGAAGCAGAAGCTGCTTACGGGCTGCCAGATTGAGGGCCTAACCTGTAAATCATGAGCCGACTGACAAGTCCCTGCAGTTAAGCTTGCTTGAAGCAAATGTTCAAATGTACGAGGCCTTATTCGTTTCGGATCCCTTGGCTGCGCATATTTCTCTGGTGTACGAACCTGAGTTTTCCCATTTGTGGATGTCAGGAAAGCTACAAATGGGCCAGGGGGGCTGCAGGAAATCACAGCAACTTCTGTAGAGAGGCCTGGGAGAATGAGAAAACAGGTGCATACCCTCCAACATTTCTCCGATGAAAATAGGGACATCTTATTCCATAATAAGAATGATAACAATTTTATGATGTATATACTCCATCCATCTGGGTTAAAAACGTCCCTCTACAGGGCTGCCTTCAGATGTCTTCTAAAGGTTGTTTAGTGACTTATCCCCTTGGCTCGGGGGATTCGCTTAACTCCATACCCTCCAACATTTCTCCAATGAAAATAGGGACTTCCTAAGGAAAAGCAGGACGTGGGTGGCGCTGTGGGTTAAACCACAGAGCATAGGGCTAGCTGATCAGAAGGTCGGTGGTTCAAATCCCCATGATGGGGTGAACTCCCGTTGCTCGGTCCCTGCTCCCGCCAACCTAGCAGTTTGAAAGCACGTCAAAGTGCAAGTAGATAAGTAGGTACCGCTCTGGCGGGAAGGTAAACGGAGTTTCCGTGCGCTGCTCTGGTTCGCCAGAAGCGGCTTAGTCATGCTGGCCACATGACCCGGAAGCTGTCTGCGGACAAACACCGACTCCCTCGGCCAATAAAGCAAGATGAGCACCGCAACCCCAGAGTCGGTCATGACTGGACCTAATGGTCAGGGGTCCCTTTACCTTTAAGGAAAAGCAGGAAGGCTTTTGTAAATTTGGGACTGTCCCTGGAAAACAGAGACACTTGGAGGGTCTGCGGAAAAATCCATATAGATAGGCACTTTGTAACAAAAACATGTTTAGCCTTTCACTGTAGCTCCCTGATTTTTGTGGGTCTCTCTCTCTCTCTCTCTCTCTCTCTCTGTGTGTGTGTGTGTGTGTGTGTGTGTGTGAGAGAGAGAGAGAGAGAGAGAGAGAGAGAGCGCCACTATTTTGAGGAAGACAATGTTCAGCCCCCTATCAAGAAATTGCATTTTTTTTCAAGTGAGATGAACTGAAGCTTCTAAATGAAAGTACTACTGAGAAGTTGTGGGGGAGGGGAGAGAGAGAGACAGACTTTTGGGAATGGACAAAGAGAGCCTGTAGCAAAATGGTACTGGAACTAACACAACCAATAGCAACAAAACATGCAGTGGAGGTAGATGGGATATCGCATTGTCTGCTGACTGGCTCAGCTTGCAATCAGCCCCCTCAGGCTTCGTAGTTTCTCCCAGATTCCCCAGTCCAAAATAACATCAAAATAGTTCACATAAGTTGCAGAAGAAACGGTAAAACTATCATTGGACTGTGCCACTTCTGATTCTGCAGATGGGGGAATTGCATGACTAAATATCCCTCCATGCAAAAAAAACAACAAAAAAAACCCCAACAACTGTGGACTGGCAACTAGATTTCAAAGAGAAGCACTCTAATTAGCCTTTACATTGACATCCTCGTTTTGAATGCAGAAGAGTTTTGAGGTTGTTTTGCCTCATGGTGAAGCATTAAACCATACGTCCGCCTACCTGCAGGCTGCATACTCAACGTCAAAATTCACAGAGGAGAGGTTTGTGGAGCAAATTCATTTCAGTGCTAAAATAAACATTCCCTTTCCCTCCAGCCCCCTAAGGCCTGGTTTTATGTATGCAGATGTGTGCTTCAATTTCCTCATCAGAGATTTGTCTCTCTGTAGAGGGAAAAGAACAATAATGTACTCTGACTTATTTCTTTTTCTTTTTTTTAAGTGTATCACGAGTGTTCATTTCACTGCAGTACAATGCTACCTGATCAGCATAGTATTGGTGGTGGGGGTGGGGGTGTGTGAAATAGCCATGTCACATTTCAAATGATCCGCAATGCACTCTTTCCCTAGAGCTTGATCGCCATGTTGCAAAACCAACTTTTCAAGTGATGCTGAGGACATTTTTAGGATGTGGGGTTTTTTTTTGCACAAGGCTTGAAGGGTGACCCCAGAGTATCAGACAGCCCATCTCGAGCTCTGCAGGCATATTTAATTAACAAACAGTATTCTTTGAGAAGCTGTGCCAACATAAATGATGCTGGCACAGACCTAAAGAGATTATGACAACTTAAGAAAACACTAAACAGAACCTGGAGTTCTTAATCAAAACCCACCCAAAGCTCTTCATTTCCCACCTCATTCTGTTTGTGTAACTGTTTTAGAATAATTAGGATTAGTGATGCTTGCTTACTTGATAAGGACACAGGGACAAATGTTGCTGTGGCATTGATTACTCCCTCCTGGTACCAGCCAAACCACAGTTCTTTTACGTAAAACACTTTTTTCTAAACCAGGCATGCAGAAGCCTATCAGTAGCACACACTTATATCAGTTTTATGGAAGTTTAAATCCCGTGCCTTTCCCTGGCAATGCAATTTGGAGTCGGGGCTGATAAATTTTTGGTGAAAAACCCAAGCCCCCTCGCAGAATAACAGCTTGCAGGATTCCTTGAAGGCCGCTCCCCATCCCGGGGGGGGCAGTGTTGCGGGCAGGACACACACTCTCCTCATGCACAGCGGGGGCATGGCAGTGCCCGCGCATCATAGGGGAGTCTCGGCCACGTCATGCCCACGGCCGACCAATGCGGTCAGCCAAGGGACCGTGGCTTAGCGTATTGAAGCAGCCGCGTGCCGGGGCTTCTCCCTTTTGGGTCCATGTGTTTTAATATTCAACAATTGGGGGTGGGGGGCTCGGGGCCTTGACTCACAAGAAGGAGAAAGACCCTCAGGCCATTTTAAGGCTGCACTGCAGCTGTGAAGCTGGAGCAGCAACAAAATACTTGCATGGTGTAAAAGATGAGGATTAATCGGACTGAGATGTTGCAATAGGAGGACTGTTAGGTTGTGCTGAAAAGCCACTTCTGAGCTGGAGAGGAGGTGGGGTTGTGGGCTTCACGCCCTCCCCCACGTGCGCGGGGGCTGGCTCACAGCCCCCGCGAGACTGAGGGAATCCTCGGCTGCGTCATCTCCCTTGCCAGCCAATCGGCTGGCCCGGGAGGCGTGGCCTGCGCTATTTAGGGCTGGCGCGGCTGAGGATTTTCCTCTTTTGTCGCTCTAGCTGCTCCGGTTTCCCACCCCTCCCACCCTTTAGGTTTGGCTCTCTGACATTGCTATGGACTTCGGTTGGTCGCCGTCAAGGGGCCTGGTAGGAATTTTTTCCACTTGGCAAATTGGCTCCAGCCATTTGGTTTTTCGCCTACCTGGTAGCAAATCGTCATAGCTCCCTTTGCATTGGCGGTTAGGCATTGGTAAGGGTATTGTTATGCAGATGAGAGGGGGGGAGGAAGCACCATCACCTTCCCCCCATATCGAAGGGTAGTCCGGTAAAGGATTCCGGGGGCCGTTACCCTGTCCGAAGCCTATGGAGGTGTGGGCCCACGGCACGCCCCTGAGCGGTGACCCCGGGGGAGATCCTAGTTGATGTGCATCAGCAGGACTCCCCCTACTGGCGGTTAACCCTTCCCGGACTTCAAGCAATCAGGCTGAAGCCGGATAGTCAATAGGACCAATGCCTAAGTCAATACCGCTCAATTCCTGTAACCAATAAAGTTGTGACCAATTTTCGCCCATTAACCTAAAATGCTGGTGTCGTGTGTCTTTATTTCCGATGGGGGAGGCGGGAACTCGCCAAGCAACCAACCCCACAAAATCCCAGTTAAACCTACTGATCTCATCAGAAAGAAAGAAAAAGCTTTTGAACAAACCCTCCTAGGTGGAAAAGCCCTTAGGCAGCAGAACGTGGTGGGAGCTCAGAGACAGCAGAGTGCACTTCAGACTCCGGGGATCACATTTTTAATGTTCCCTTATGCTTTAACCAAAACAAACCTATCTGCAAACAGAAAATTAGCAGAGCAGGAAAAATGCTGGCCTAAAATGCACTGCCCTGATAAACTAGCTTTCTACTCACGGTTGACTTGGTTTTTAAACACAGTAAAATGTTCAGAGTGGTGCACTCTACCACCTCTGAAGTCTTCCAGCTCATTATTCTGCATGAGAACATCTTAACTAGAGTTTCCAAAGTAATAGGTACTCTCGGGGCATCTCTATTAATAAGGAACAGAGCAGCAGTATAGGGGCACATGAGGCATATGCCTAGGTACTGAAATCCTGCCGTGGGAGCAAAAGGATGCAGTCCAAATTACCTTTGGGCATGCTTCCCCATCATATTATTCTGCAAAAAGGAGTTCAGCAGTTTGAGCGAACGTCTGGCAATTACAAGCCGAAATGGAATGTAAACTCTGGTCCTTGGTGCACTCTTTGAAAGTCAAACAGCTAGGTACATGCATGATGCATTGCAAATGTGCAGAAAGCAAAAATAAAACAAGCCAGTCTGTGCATGCATTTCCTGCAGTTGGTGGTTGCGTATGAAGAGGTGATCTGAAGCATCAGTCTGTGGGATAGCTCAGTTGGTAGAGCATAAGGTTCTTCATCTCAAGGCCGTGGGTTCAAGCCCCACCTTGGGCAAAACGTTCCCTTCTTTTCAGGGGGTATGACTAGATGACCCTCATGGTCTCTGCCAACTGTACAATTTTATGATTCTAAACTCTGGAACTGCACCAGGCGTGAGGAACTTTTGTCCCCCCAGACGTTGCTTAACTGTAACCCATCAGTCCTTGTCCTGCTTGCAAACTTCCCAAGAGGGGTCTGTAAGGCTACTATGAGAACAGTTTGCTGGACTGGGTCTTTGTCCTGATCTAGCTGGGCTCTTATTATTTATTTACATTTGTTTTATTTATAAAATAATTATTTATATTGCCCTCTCCCAAAATATCAGGGGAGGGTACAGCAATCTTTATTAAAAACACAAAAAAACCAAACCTTTCTTGCCTACTCCAGAAAATTATAGCAACTGCATAGACCTGCCAGCATAAGAAATATTCAAGAGATGTATGAAGGGCAAAAGGAAGCTTTCTGGGTCATGTGACCAGCATGACGATACTGCTTCTGGCACAACGGGACACCGTGACGGAAACCAGAGCGCACGGAAGCGCAGTTTACCTTCCTGCCGTAATGGTACCTATTTATCTACTCACACTTGTATGCTTTTGAATTGTTAGGTTGGCTGGAGCTGAGTCAGAGCAATGGGAGCTCACTCTGTTGCGGGGATTCGAAACCACCAACCTTTTGATTTGTAAGCCCAGGAGGCTCAGTGTTTTAAACCACAGCTCCACCTGTTCATGGGCGGTATATGGGCAGCCAATAAAGAGGTTTTAGCAGAGGCATCAGGTGCTGTTAGCTGTCTGCACTCTTCAACAGTCTTGCCGCACATTGCATTCTTTGCTGGCTTGAACTTCCGGACTATGCCTAAGGGGAGCCCCACATAAAGCTCGTTTCAGTAATCCAAGTTTATATTGTCTTCTATTCATGCAAACACCTCAGGAGTTTGCAAAGCTGCTACTAAGCTTGCGGACAGGCCAGGGTCATGTAGGAAAGGGGTACCTCTACCTGCCAAGGTGATGAGAAAGAGTATACATGGCCACCCTGTTCTATGCATCAGCGGTGACTTGAAAAGGTAAACTGCACAGGGACCGCTGTCATATGAATTTACAATAAGATTCTGCACCTTGTGAGGAGAGGAGACAGAGAAGGGATTGGGGAACCAAATATATATGTCTTATGAAAGTATATATCTTCACCCAAAGTAGCAGAATCTATGCTCTGGCAATCTTGTCTCCTTGGCCTAGTTCCTGCTCAGGTGGTAAATGTGGATCCAGGCTGTACAGATTCAGCCTGCAGGGGACGGGTTCACATGATTCAACCCTCCCCTCTGCAGCAACAACGATGGTAAAAAATATATATCCTAAAGATAGAAGCACATGGAGCTGCACCAGGCAGGCTAGTTCTAGTCTAGCCTGCAGACTAAGATATAGTGACACAGAAAATCAAGGGACCAGAAAAAGTTCTCTCCCCAGCTCAACACTTTCCTTGCTGAAGCAAAGAGACAAAGGAAACTGAAGGGGTGGAGGTTTCAGTGGCAGCGGCAGCAGAACAAGGGTGAGCGGAAGACGGGAGATGCAGGAAGAGATGAGTCTTATTTTCCCTGCCTCCAGCCAACACCACTCATGGTACATCTTGTAAAATAATAAAAAATGTACCACTCTAAGTGTCAGGCAGACACAGGTCTGCTAGTCCCCCTCAGGTAGTTTTTGTCGTGAAGTGTCATGCAGCAAAAGATTAGCCCAAGTGTGTTTTCTGTGGCTGAGGTTTTTGTCCTCAGTCATCATGGAAGAAATAGAGGGGGAAATGTACGCATACAATAAGCCTTATGAACATTTAACATTATAAGTTTGGGGTGCAGTGCCAGGATAAATAATAATTATTCCGAAGGTGCAACTCAAGTTACTTCTGTACTTTCTCTCATGAGGCAAACAGCCTTGAGGAATAAATTTCTACTGGGGGAAAGTCCCACCCAGCACCACAACGCTGACTGGATTTTCTACCATTCTGATACGGCCATTAAACTTTTCTTAAAAGCAGGAGAACTGATTTGGCCCTTAAATGCTGGACCTTGCAAAGATTCCAGAAGGTTAGGTGGCAAATCTAGCTCAGAACCTTGTGGCACTAACTGATTTATAGCAGCACAATAAATCTGTAATAAATCTCTGCGTCTTTAATTAACAATAATAAATCTGTTAGTCTTTACTGTGCACAATACCCCCAAGCTTTTAAAATGTTTTAATATGCATTGTGTTTTATATTAATTAGTTTTATATTACTAGAAAATGAACTAAACTTTTTTTAAAAAAGAAAAACCCAACAACTTGTTGGTGTTCTTAACAGCAAAGATGGCATCTTCCTCCCATGTTAAGACAAGTGTGAATTTGTCTGAGCTGAAACTATTCGCATTCTCCCATCCCACCATTTTGCTGAATGTTGGAAAACACCTCCTTTCTTACTATGGTGATTATTATTTTTTAAAATATTATCTACTAGTCCTTTACATTTTCCTTCCATGCTTTTAGTTCTCAGGTGATTTCCTTTGCTCTCAGTAGTGTTAACCTATAGCCAAATCTGTTTATTTTATGGGATCGTGCATGTAACTAACTGCAGAAGAAAGGAGGAACAGGAACAGAGGAAAACCAAAACATGGAAACGTATGTCTGAAAGGTGAATGTTCACACAGAATCATTTCCAGGAAATACAGTTTTCAGTGACATATAACTATATTAGAAGTGAAAAACCAAAACCAACAAATATTTGGTATAGCTTTACACAGATATGATCATTTCTGGATCATCAACACTGAAAGTATTGCATCATTGGTAGGTTCCAGTTTGCAATGTACTTCTGAACCATTTGCACAAGTGCAAGAGACTACAGCGAGTGCTGTTCACATTGACTCGCTGCCCGTAAAGTGAAGGAAGAAACACACATTATCATTAAGCTGTGTGTACCAAAAACTGGCTAATGAACGCTTCAGCATCATCTTAAGTGATGGTCGGCCAAGAGTTTGGGCACAGCCTCAGACATGATTTCAAAGACTAAAGCTGAGCCATTAGAGATGAGCCAAATCTAGTCATTTCCAGTGAAGATTTTTGGCAGTGCCAAACATGTACTGTAATTCCCTTCTGGGCATTCTTAGCCCTCTTTGCAGACATGTTCGTTTATTCATTTACATTGCCCACATTTACCCACAGTGATGCCATGATGCAGTGAAATCTGATTACCTTTGCCGCTTTAAGATGCCTCTCTATTAGCCGTAAATAATCCCTGATTAGGTGGGATTATCTACATGACTAAGGCAGGAAGGAGAAAGAAGCAGCAAGCAGAGGGGAAATTGTGCCAGGCAGGGTTGAGAGAGGAGGATATTCACAACAAGTATTGAGGGGTGTGGGTGTTTGTTTGTGTAGGGGGCTCTATCCCACCCAAAACTGGCTCCAAATAAAAAGTGAGCCTGCTTTTTCTTACAGTACAGCAAAGGTCTCTGCACGGAGAAGAAGAAGAAGAAGAAGAAGAAGAAGAAGAAGAAGAAGAAGAAGAAGAAGAAGAGGAGGAGGAGGAGGAGGAGGAGGAGGAGGAGGAGGAGTTTGGATTTAATATCCCGCTTTATCACTACCCTAAGGAGTCTCAAAGCGGCTAACATTCTCCTTTCCCTTCCTCCCCGACAACAAACACTCTGTGAGGTGAGTGGGGCTGAGAGACTTCAGAGAAGTATGACTAGCCCAAGGTCGCCCAGCAGCTGCACGTGGAGGAGCGGGGACGTGAACCCGGTTCCCCAGATTACGAGACTACTGCTCTTAACCACTACACCACACTGGTACAGCACACTACACTACACTACACCACACCACACTTGAGGCCTTATCGCACACAGGAAAGGGGTCTGCATGGTAATGGGATGGTGGCTATGCCATAAGTTCCTCTTGGAATTGTAGTTATTTGTCAAACTCTGCTCATTCTTCACAAACACCAAAAACACCTCAGTTTCCCACAGAGAATTAAAATGTCAAGTACCACCATATTACCCCTTAGCCACATAATTAGTCTTCTTCGGACAAATTTGATCTCTACACATAAACTAACCAGCATTTTTCCTACCACCTTGTGGCAGGGGGAGGGGGGGCTGTGAAACCTAGGCTAGTGATAACTTACCCAACTGCATATTCATAAACAAGGGACCTTACAAAACCCCCAGCAAGCTTCCAGTACACACACACTCTCTTCCTCACAAGGAAACTGACTCTGAAAAGCTGCCCCGGAACTTACTTCCGCTTAGAGGTGAGGAAGTGTGCAACCATCTTAGAAGAAATCAGGCATTCAAAGAACAATTGGACAGGTTGCCTTTGTTCTTGCATAATCTGGGTCTCTGCAAGGGCTGGGCTCCCCTGTCAGGCCTTGGTGGACCAGTCCAGCTCCCCAAGGCATTGCAGTAGAACAAGCCACATTTGATTACAGCTGACTGAACCAGGCCCTGTCCAAACCATTGTGCTTTCAGTTCCATGAATATGTTTTGTGAAGGGACTTTTAAATATAAATGGGACTTTTAAATATATAAGGGACTTTTAAATATAAATGAAGCCGGTCTCCGAGATTTGTCTTTCTATCCATTTCTTGGCACATGAATCTGCAAATAGTACCAACATCAGCTTGGATCAAGAGGTGGAATTCAACGCCATACTCTTCTGGTTGTTCCCTCAGTGCAGGCGCTTCCGCTTGCCACATGAAAAAGTCCCCCTTCTTCTCCTTCTGTGTGCTGTTCTCCTGAGCCCCACAAAGCAAATTTCAGGGGCACAACAGTGGAGGAAAAGGGGAAAGCCCGTTGCACTAGAGGGTGTGCCTGCATGGGCTTCCACTAGCGGGATCAGTTAGCTGATTCCAGCCAATAATTTTTATCTTTCCATATATGTTCTTTTTTTCCAACAAAAGGAGGAATTTTCACCCAATGCATCTCCAGACTGATACCTCAATTTACATAAATGCACACTGGTTAAGGTCCAATGGATTTATCTAAAAGGGGGCTCGTG